TCAAACTTTATTTTCCAATTTATTTTGAAAAATATTTTTGTATAATTTCTGATTATACATATATTTTCTTTGTCAGATATCTTAATAAAATGGCATGAAAAACATCCCAAAAGGCCTAGCATACCGTGAAATTTTGATAAGGCTATATAGCGGCTAGCCTTATCAAAATTCCACGGTATGCTGTTGAGTTGATCAGGGGTGATGTATCTTACAATCTTGGAGCCAGCCTTGCAAATGCATTGCTCTTGGATTTGAGGGCTATGGGCTTTCTTATCCGCAAAATTAATATAAAAAGATATTTATATAGATAAATGTAAAATTGATAGAGCAAAGGTTTAAAGTGAAAACAAATGCCCATCAACAGCATGATGAAAAGGTGGTAAATTTTTGTATTGGAGTTGATGGGAGAACTGACAAAGACACACTAATGTACAAGGAAATAGTGGAGGAAAATGGAGAAGACTGAAAAAAAGACCAAGAGACCAGAACGCCACTTGACTGTCACAAAGATTACATATGAATAGTGATATAAAGTGAATATCTGACACCCAAGGCTCTTCCTAATATTGGTGCAATTGTTGTGGTTCTTGCCGAGCAAGTGGCTGATGTTTTGCATGAATTCAACAGTGTGAGCACTATCAAGGCTATCCTTGTTGACAAACACTAATGCCAATTCAGGCTGTGAAGGTGGATTTGCTGCACCTCTAGAATTCTTCATACTATTGGTTGCTCCTTGCACCAAAATGAAATTCCGTTTAGAGCTCTTTTTAAACATGTAGACGGTACCACAAAAAGCCCTGCCACATTCAATGGTCCACTTGGAAGATTACGTGCAAATGATTATTACCATAATTTACCCCAAATATCATTTTCAGCTGTTGGCAGTCCTCTGGATTCTATCTTTAAAATTGAAAATGCAGATACCCTTAGTTGTGACCAAAGACTCCTTTATGAATATACAGTGGGTATTTGTAGAGGTAAGGTGGACTCTAGATTTGCATCATGGAAAATTGGTCCATTAAACCAGGCAAGGAGGTTAACTTTGGTCTGATGCGTTTATGGACTCGTGGTGCATACCCACGAAATCTTTCAACCAAACTCCACGGTTTAATAAATTTTATTGTGAATGTGTATGCCATTTGCTGGTTTGAAATTAAAAGAAATAACAAGTTCCACAATCAGCAAATGTATATTTTCAATATGTTCCAAAGGATTAGGAAGCAACCATATGAAATCCAACAGATCACTTCGAAAAATATACAATACAATGCTTTCGCCTTAGTGCCTGAAAATATCTTATATTCAATGGTCAAATCTGATGAATTGGAAGTGAGGGAAGAAGCTATAAAAAGAATTTGGCCATTAGGTTAGTAAATATTTATTCATATAAAATTGACTAAATTAGTTTTACCGATTTATGGAATCATTTTAAGGATTTTATCTAATTTCACCATAAATATTAAAGCAGTACAGAATGCATTTTTTAAAATAAATCAAATTAATTTTATACCAAGAAAAAAATTAAAAGAATCACAACTATCAAATTTAAAAGCTATGCACTGGAGACAGTTAAAAGATCTGTCATTAAGTGGAGTTTGTGAACCACCACTCACAGAATATTTTCTGAAAATGAACTTCGGGAATAATTATTAAATGGTACGAAACTTGACTTACCAGATTTGCCCTGACATTTTCAAGGCATGGAACGGGCAGTCAAGTTAACAACAGAAGCTTCCCAATCTGTGTATGGCTTTGAAGCAAGGCACCAGCACATAATATCAAAAGCTTTGTGTCAGAAATTGTGACCATCAATTTCATCTGAGGGTTCTTATATGGAACTATTTGACTCTGTATATTAAGCCCTATTAAACTATTCTTTATTTTTTCATATTTGTTTGTTTGTTGTATTTTCATTCAAAATAGAAAAAAGCAATTTTTTTTAATGTATTCAACTAATACTGCTTAATTCATGAGGCAAAAAACAGCATTTCAAAATCGTCAGTGATAATGGGTGGGGGGGCAAATTTTCAATTCGAAGTTTACTTATAATTTCTACATTTTATTTAATTTAGATAAAACAAAATAACAACATTCCCTGATTTAAATAGTGAAATTGTTTGTTTTTTTTATCAATATTTAGTCTAAATCTTGCAAAATCGTGGATTTTTCAGTGCTTTTTTGTCTACGATCTTTGATGCCAAATGCTCAAAAAACCGTTGAAGTGACAAATCTAATTTTTTGTATCAGTACTTAACTGGTCTATACACAACTTTTGGTACATTATTCTTGTTGATATTTAAAAAATAGACAAAAATCGACCTACCCTAATATATATATATATATATATATATATATATATATATATATTAAGGAAGTACGATTGGTCGGGTAAATAAACTATTATAATTTAAAATATTTCTTTAATATGTTCTCTATAAATGTGTTAATAAAAATAGTAGTTAACTTATATTAAGCCCCTAAACTATTTGCTTGTAAAATT